CTATTCTATGTCCACGTCATTACTATATTTTGCACAACAATCCATAACTATTGCAATACATTATATAATTAAAATTTGAAGCAACAAAAATATGTCTCTTTAATGTTCAGCTAGTCTCTGTTCACATCACTACTATATTTTGCACCACAACCTCAAATTACTACAATGTATCTATAACTAAAATTTGAAGCAATAAAAATGTGTCTCCTTAATGTCCTACTATTCCACGTCCACATGTTACTATATTTTACACGGCAACCCATAACTATTGCAATCTATTATATAATTAAAATTTGAAGTAACAAAAATATGTCTCCTTAATGTTCAGAACAAGCCATAACTATTGCAGTATACTATATAATTAAAATTTAAAGCAACAAAAATATGTCTCCTTCATATTCAGCTACTCTATGTCCACATCATTACTATTGTAATTTGCACCATAATCTCAAATTACTATAATGTATCTATAATTAAAAATTCAGCAATAAAAATGTGTCCCTTTAATGTCTTACTATTCCATGTCCACATGATTACCATATTTTACACAACAACCTATAACTATTGCAGTACATAATATAATTAAAATTTGAAGCAGCAGAATTATGTCTCCTTAATATTCTCCTAATCCATATCTACATCATCCATATCCACTGCAGTATTATTACTATAACAATCCTAAACTACAATAAAATATAAAAACTTGAACCAACAAAACTGTGTCTATCCAACAATTCCATATCAAAACCACAATTCTAACAACCCTACTGCAGTACATTGCACAACGAACATTAACTATCTAAACCTTCATTAGAAAGCGGAAACGTTAATCGTATAATTAATTCAAGGAACATAGCAGGGTTAATCGCGACGTTCCCGGAAGAATCCGTGATAAACCGGCAGAAATAAAACCGGTGGAATTTGACGCGATACGAGGCTTGTTATTAGTCAGCTTGAACTTCTGAGGCAGTTAGGCTCGCGCGAGTTCATCGAGCTTATCCTCTCGTATCAGCCTCGCGACTCGTCTTTGTGCCACGATGGCTATTATTTCGACCTTCCTGCGCATTCCTCGTCGTGATTGCTACCTGCTTTTTGCTTCCTTCCACGAACGAAATCCTTGGAATCGTCCGTGGATGAAGTCATTTTGAAGGAAAGAAACCGAACGCAACCTTGCGATCTTTCCCAAGTGTCAACCTTGCCGGATTATTTCTCCTTTTATTTTCGGATGGTTTATCGCGATTCACCGTATTCCTTCTCTTTTGTTGCCACCAAATTATGTCTCCGAGGAGATGATAAATCTTCAGGTACAAGGAATATTTGCCGGGGTACAGTACCGTGCAGAAGTTTGACAAATTGCCGGGCCGCAAGTATTTCGAGGTAATCGAATGGTTTGTGTGCGATCGTGGATGAGTGCTGTCAAAATAATTTAAGATCGAATTATATAGGAAAATTGTCGAGAGAAAGGTGGATAACTGGAAATTTGGGTATTTGGTAATTTGGGGATTTAGAAGGCTGAAAACTTGGGTGTTTTCAGGGTTTACAATTTGGGGATCTTGTGATTTAGCAGATGGAGAAATTGGGGAGTTGATGATTTGGAAATTGGGGAATTTTCAAGCTTGGAAATTTGGAAGTTGGGGAATGGAAGGATTTGGAAGATTGGGATTTGAGGTATTTGGAAAATTGGGGGGTTGAGAATTTGGAAATTTAGAAATTGGGTAATTTAGGGATTTGAGAGAGTGGAAATTGGGGTATTTAGGGATTTGAAAAATGTGGAATTTGAAAATATAGAAATTGGAGAATTAGGGATTTGAAAGATTGGGATTTGAGGTATTTGGGAAATTGGGGGGTTGGGAAGTTAGAAATTTAGAAACTAGGGAGTTTAGGGATTTGAGAGAGTGGAAATTGGGGTATTTAGGGATTTGAAAAATGAGGAATTTAGAAATATAGAAATTGGAGAACTAGGGATCTGAAAGATTGGGATTTGGGGTATTTGGGAAATTGGGGGATTGAGAATTTGGAAATTTAGAAACTAGGAAATTTAGGGATTTGAAAGATTGGGAATTAGGGTATTTAGAAATCTGGGAAATTAGGAATTCGAAAATGTAGAAATTTGGGAATTTTGTGATTTGAAAGATCGGAAATTTTCGCACGTAAAAATTTAAAAACTCAAAAATTAAATTCCCCACTTATAAAAATTGAAAACACAAAAATTACCAAATGTTTCATCGACACTAAAATGAATAAATCCGCAATTTTTCGACGAATCGTGTTGGGTAACCCATGCGTGTGGTACAAAATTTATTGCATAGTTACAAAGAAGACAAGGTAAGATAATTTAATTTAATGGACCTCCGTGCAATTTGTCGGTTGGTTCGAAAATGTCCAAGAACGGATGAACATGTCGGAGAAATTTAAATTTCTACCTCTACATTGATTCTTGTTCGTTCGATCTGTAAAAGTCCGCGGACGTTGCGCATCCTCCACAACGAAATAAGCACGAAACACGATACAAGATTGCAATTTTACGTATCGCCGGGCAAGTCGGAGAAAATCGAGTGTGCTTTATAAGGTGCTTGTTAAATTTTACAACCGGTCATTATACCCTCGATTCTGCTCAAACTTAAGGGCAATAATAATAACGCATGGTGAATCGTTGCTGACTCGACGCGTTCTTGATCGCACATTTTTTCCTTTCCACGCGTGCTCGATTTCGCACGCAAAAGTGCCCGCTCTTTTCGATTAATCCAAACCCTTTCTTTACGTCATTATAATATAATGTGATACGGTAACCACCGGTAACGAGCGCAATTATATTCCTCAAACGTTACCGTCGTATACAGATTACCATATTTGTTTCGGCATATAAAGTTTGGAATATTGTGTTGTGGTTATTTTTTTTTATCAGATATTTGACTTAATTTTGTGTTAAATTTTTTAAATGTTTGATCTTGAGGCACTCGAAAGGGGACACTATTAACCTCAATTCTTTTTTAAATAGTGAAGTTTGATGGGTCTTAAACAATGAAAATAATTCATTTATTAACTGAATTTATAGGGACTGTATAGTACATCGAATTACCACTATAAATTTTCAGCATCTTTCATGTTTTCCGTAAAATTAGACCTGTTCAAATTATAATGATATTTATTAGCTACTAACATAACTACTACTGTACATAACATTATTAACACATGTTAATATCTTGTATTTTCTTTGCTTTGGTCAACTTGCATGCTCCGTATACATCATATGCTTTATATCTTCATTTTCCCAAATATCTGTAATTCTTTTCAACTCAGATAACGTTAGAGAGTTGTGAACTAGTCTTTTGAGTAGGCAGACATTTTCTATGGCATTCAAATTTCACCTGTCGCGCTATCGATACTCGAGTCTAACGTAAACGCTCGCACGGCCCTTAATCGCTCATCACCCTCACAATTTATTATCACGATAGTAACAAATTGCTATGTATATATCGTTATCAATGTATTTAGTAATAATTTTGCGTGACCTAAGACAATTTTCCATGTATAACATAATGTTATAGTTGTAAAAGTGAAATTTTTGTACGTGGTTCTAATTCGATGGTTAGAGGCTGTAATAGCAGGGGGATAACTTTAAAAGAATTCATTAAGGACTATAATCAAAATGACTAGACTTTTTGACCTAATATTATTCATACGTTAATATCATATTGTATTACAATTTTTTGTGTCATAGGTATTTTATATTTATTATAGAATTTACTATTAATATTGTATATCATTCATAATATTATCATATCATGAATATAGTATTTATAATATTCTATTACAGTTTTTGTGTTATAGATTTCATTATTAATATCGAATGAAGAATATTAATGTCCTATATTATTCATACAGTATTGAAACTATAGTACTAAAAAGTAAGCTCGTTACTAAAAATGTTGGACAGAAGAGGTATTTTTGTGACTTGGAAATAAATTTGAAGGAATGAAGTATACATATGTATACTCTTTGAAGCAACCGAGGTGGTCTACCCCCTCGGAGAATAACCGACTGCCAGATGATGATTCTATTACGCTCGCGTCATCAAGATTTCCTTATTTGGAGTTGGTCGCTAACATATGGATTAGAATACTTTTAGAAAGTTTCAGACCACCGCGGAGGTATAGTTTTTTCCCACGAAGAAATAGAATACGTAGGGTGAGAGATAAACTGAAACGAAAACTGTGGAGTTTCATCTTTTTTCTTCGTTTTTGTTCTTAAATCTTGGTCCACTTTTCAATTTAGGGAGTTGCAAATTTGACAATTTAGGGATTTGCAAATTTGGTAACTTAAAAATTTGAGAATATAGAAATTTGCAAATTTTCGTACTCAAAAATTTTAAATATTGCAAATTCTTATATACAAGAATTTAGTATAGTGCAAGTTTTTCTACATAGAAATTTAGTATTTTATAAACACAATTTTTCAAATTGACAAACTTTGCAATTTTTAAATTTGACTGCTTCGGTAATTTTAGTGTCAATCATTATTATTAATTGTGCATTTACGGTACAGTGGTTCTTCTTCTTCTTCTTTATTCGCTAACATTCTTACCACAAAATAAAAAACAAGTAAACCACCGATACACATATTGAATCTTTATCTCAATGAACGCAGATTTCAAGAAAGCCACATCAACAAATATCATAAATTAAAGTAAGCTAATGAAATCCTTTAACTGCTCCGTTTCCTCTTAAAATCGAATAAAAATTACCCAATCATCACGAAATGGTTTTATCTTCGTAGCACGGTTTCCCGAGAAAATGGCGCCTTCGACAATAAACGGTGTCTCCCGTTGCCCCGTCATCTTGACACACATAATAACGCGGTTATCCGCGCATAATTCCTCCATAAATTATATATTCTAATTCCGTGGCGTGGGTAAACGGTTATTATTGCAGCTTGAGACCGGCGAGTCGTGAATTGACTCGAAACGACTCGAGTCGTTCGCAGCATCGCGCTCCCCGTTGTTCGTGGCTCGGAAACTTATGATGCCATATGGGACACGTCCGAGTACGGAATAATTTATGATAGCTTTCTTAAAACGATGCTGGGATTCCAGTTGGTGAAGCGTGCGTATAAACGAGGATTGATTGCATCCTCTCGCTCTGTTGCGCGCGTGTTCGTACACGCAGCAGATTGTTTAAAACGAAGGCACGATGATTACGGGGCCCGATCGACTCTTGGAACGTGCGAAACGATTATTTAAATGTCGCGTACACAAGTTCAGACTTCGATTATCGACCTGCTTCGGGGTAAGCGCTCGTAATTGCTTGCTTTTTATCTTTTAATGGGGCGTCTAGCGGAAAACGCCGCGCAGAGGGCGCCACTAGGAAATTAAAATGGCGGCATAGTTACGTTTATACTTCTTCCTTGATAGTTTATAGGTTCTATTCTATTCTAGTTTATAGGTAATATTGTTTATAGGTTTTTATATTTTAGAGGGTTCACGAAATTTTGACATTAACTTCGCATCCCTAATTTTTCATTTTTATTTAACTCGTTTGATAAAAATTCGACGTCAAGACTTTTTGTATCTGTTACTTAACTAGTTGTTAATACAAACAAGAATTGGTAAAAATTTAATTGCGGGATCCACAAAAAATATATTGAAGGACTTCTCAGATCACACAAGTTTAACTTACTTTGAAATTAAAATAAAAACTGAAAAATAAATAAACGAATATGAATTAGTATATATTTACATTAATTCTTTATCCCGAAAAACACATATTTTAACAAACGCATCTTAATAAATTTATATATAAAATTACTAAAATTATGAATTCTACATTGATATCCATTTCGACTTCAAGTATCGATCGTTAATTTGTTCACATAATTTCCAAGATCGTCTTACGTTCGATCCACGATTCCAGTTCTTGTATCCATGAAATAGTCGCCATAGTCGTGTGATTAATAACTCAACTAGGTTCGTAAACCGCCATTTTCATGTCCGAGTACACGAGGACCTATTTAGTATTAGCCGTGGATCATGGAACGCGTAGGTTTATCTAGATCGTCGTTTCCATTCAGAGCGGAGTCACAATGGTGTTGAACGATCGCTGCAATCAATTAAATATCCCTCGAATAAATATGAGTTAACGAAGTCTCGGGACCGGCCGAATCGATACACGATCCAGATCGATAAATCGCACGGGTGTCCCGTTCATAATGGCGAATTGATCACTTTCGAAAGCGCCGTCTCGTTTCGGACGAGTCCGCACCGAAAGTACGCCTCCAATATAATTGGTCCTGATAAATTACATTTCGCCGACCATCGCACATTATTACGGCTAACTTCTTTATTTACGATCTTTATTTAAGCGACAGTGCCCGCATAAAATCCGATCCAACGGAAAGAGGCTTTCACTTCTTTTCGACGCGGGCTTCAAGTCATTCTACTTATTCGAACGAAAATTTGATTTAATTTGGTCTTTATCCTAATTAATATTTATTAAATCTTTAAATTAGAACAATATTAACCCCTAATGTTAGTATTGTGATTTAAATCTGCAAGGAGTCTGCAACAAAAGGTTAAGAGACAGTATTACACAATTTTATTTGATCGTCCAAAGAACGCGTTTCCATTAGTACCATGATGGTGGTTGTCGTTCATTAAGCGGACAAGATCGTCCCTTCTTCATGCCGTCGCTTATGACATTCTTGCGTTACTCTTTTGACGAGGAAGAAGAAACGTGTTCTTCGTTTCCCATTGGGACTCTACCAGTCTTTACTGGCGACGTTCTTACTGTACTTAAAATCCGACGATCCTAGATCCCCGTCAAGCGTGACGGGACTACGATGAATGGGACAAGGCTCTTCTTCCTCGTACTCGATGAATGAGACAACAGTCTTACTTTTCTGCCTCGAGTTCTCGGGAACTGGTCGGACGTTGCTACTCGTTAACTTCCTCTACGTTACAAAGTACTCGGGATAAATGGGGAACTGCATCATACACATATCCTATCTCCCTCGTATGTCATGTAAGATAGTACTAGTATACCACGTGCCTTACACGAAAATTTCGAGTATTGTAAACGTTGAGGTAGAATAAGAATGACGATTCACAATGACAATTTTAATTTAAATAAATAATATTTGGATTTAAATAAATTGCTAATTACACTATTTGGAAAGAAAATTTGAATTTAGATAATTAGCTATATGTTCACAACAAAAATTTGAATTTATATAACTAACTATTGTAAGAGCAAATGATTGGGTAGTGATAGTCACAGGCTTATGGCCGACCTGGCAGTGATAGTCACTTTCGACAGCTCCATCAATAGTTGACATATCGTGCCCAGAATGGTACTGGAACCATTGCTGCTATAATTTAACAAATTCTTTTGAAGTTATTATTTTTCATTATTTGAAGTTATGTTTCCACTGGCGTTTGTTTCGTTGTGTTTATACATCACATGTAGTGCACATGTACACATATAGTTGTCGAGTTAAAGCAAATCGCAAGAAGTTAAAATTAAATAAATAAGCAACTTAACAAAATAAATAAACAATTCCCAAAAGAATGTAAATTCCGTAACAAAAAGCTCTGAGAAAAGTGCAGAAAAATGGCGCGTTAAAAGAAACAATCCGCGAAGAGTTCCGTTCTCCGTAATGAGAAGAGGTCGTCGGCAGCATCATTAGTCGCGAAAAACATCGGCGCCAAACACGCCTAATCTCGGCTACGTGACCAAACGTATGAATGAGCTCGGTGGCGGTATGGTTGCTCTGGAGGCTAGCACTTAGAAGACGGGGAACGAGTATGCTATCAGTGTCCTGTTGTTAAGAAAAAAAGCCGGGAATAACGCGGTAGACCGGCGCTGCCGGTGCGCCAGCTTCTTCGCCAGCGATCAACAATGGCGATCACGTGTGTCGCGGCGCTTCGTTTTGCGCCGGTATGCGTGTGTCCCCATAGTCTTGTTGTTCGTGCACGACAACATCCCATAGACGGTGCGACGGGGGTTGAAGGAAGGGGTTAAAGCCACGCATGAATGGGAGCTTCATTCATGTGGCCGCCTTTGCTCGTACACGCGACCAGAGACTACCTCCGCCTCCCGCTTTTGTTTCTATCCCGGGACCCGCCACCCATCTTATGCACCTTCTCTCAGCAGAAACAATCGCCTCGATTAAAACGCGGCTGCTGCGAATCGCTTTGTTCGACCAGTACAATTGTTTAATCCTTCGTGTAGACGGGTAATGTATACGCGTATGTTAGACCGCTTTTCAGCTGGCGGGACCGAGTCGGCAGAGTCGGACTTGGTATATTTAGTACTTACTCTGTACTAATTTGTATGGACAATTTTGTACCTTGTATCACTTTCAAAAATGTCGGGGTGGTAACTAAATATTAACACGGTCAACAAGGTGTGGATCACTGATGGTCCACAGACACTGCATTCATCTGGCGCCACCGGTGATTCACATGCAGTTTTTATTAAAATTATTATTGTTTCTATTACTATTAGCAGTAATTCAAACAAGTGCTACCAGAAGAATAAACGAACTTTCTGTGGCAAACTAAACGCAACTAATAACGAAAATAAACCGTGAGACAAGAATAGATTTCGAAAAAGTGCGCCGGGTTGAAAGAGTTAAGTTAGCGAGGTTTATTTGAAAATGAACATCTTGATTCATTCAACACTTGATTGACAAAGCAATTCTACAGAATCTCTCTTATTATAGCGTTCATTGGTGAATAGCTTAGTATTTATTAAATTACTAAGAGTCTTAACAAAATACTCGTGAACCAAATTTTGAAAGATGCAATATACTAAATGTATTCCTTCATCCTCTGCAAGAATTAGCTTCTGTTCAGTGGTGTTTTTGTACCAGTACAAAAAGAATTAGATTCCTGGGCGTAAAGTTTCTTTCTCTCATAAGCAACAGCAGATTCAAAGCAGGAATTTATCTCCAAGTCGTAAACCTACTTTGTGACGCAATCCTGATCAGTTTTGTTGGCTGGAGAATCGGGTTTTCCCCGTCACATTTGCATAGCAGCTGGAGAAGGTGAGAAAATCTTTCATGGTTAACCTGTATCCGTTTCAAATTCAAATTCTACGAGAACCAGTATCGGTGTTGACCAAAGATCGCATGAAGTTTCTTTCGTTATATGTATGAGATTATTTTTTAAATTACAGATTTGCGTCTTTTAGGAATTTAATTATGCGAACTGGTGATGTGAGATCAGCGTCTGGTTTGGATTCATGTTCTTCGCTTTTGTGATTCAAATTTGCTGCGCTCATTATAATAGTGGATTGCTCTTTGATTGTGACGGGAATTGCGAGGTGGATCTGTTTTCTTTCTTTTTCTGTTGGGTATTCATGTATGATGGTAGGCGTATGTTGATAGAAACAAGTATAGTCTACTTGTCATGTCTACTTCTCATATTTTTTTATTTTATAATTGTATTTTATGGATTTTATTACATAACTGTACCACCTTGCTGTGCTAGTATTTTCTGTTATTTTACTGTTTGACTGTTCTACTGTTTGTTGTACATTTATTTTATTATTTTACTATTTACTATTTTACTTATTGCTACTATTTTATTATACTTACTGTCTTACTTCATTATTGCCACTATTTTACTATTGTTAATATTTTATTATTATTACTATATTATAAATGTTATTATTTTATCATTATCACTATTTTGCTATTGTTATTATTTTATATTAATGTTACTATTTTATTATTGTTTTTATTTTTCAAGTATTACTACTTTACTATTTTACTATTATATTAACTCACAATTTTGTTTAAACGAATAACTGTTCGGACTTGATAATGCAACAAAACTTCATCCCATTTCACTACAAATACTTCGAACTATTATTAAAAATTACACATTGCTCACAAATAAAAACTGGTCATAAATCTTGGAAAAGGTGACTTATTCATATCCATTAATTTATCATAATTTAATTCAGAAGTTATAACTCATACATCAGCATAAAGAAACACAGAAAAATATTTGTGAATCAAATGATACAATATGATTGATTTGCCTTGAACGATTTATTAAACTTCGGTCTCTATCGCTTATGTAAATGATTGCTACCTAATCATTTTCTGAATGATATCTACTCCTCTACTTGATAAATGTTAGATAACTGGTATCTTGATAACCGATTACTACTTAATCATTTGCTGAATGCTATCTAACCCACTACTTGATAAACGTCTGTCAGATTACCGGCCACTGGATAACTGTGCATCAAATAATTATCCGTCACAAAAATGTCTGTCA